ATAAGTAGGTCGAAATGATGTTACGACCCAACTAGAGAAGAGAAATTATATAGGATAATTTGAATTGATGGAACAACCCCATTGAAAAAGAGAAATAATATTGGTAGGGTCTGAATGATGGCATGACCCTAATGAAAAATAGTAATTATATAGGTAGGATTGCAATGATGGCACAACCCTACAAATTAGATTTGAGGAGTCACTGGAAAGACGAATGGAACCACGCGAATAAAATCTGAGTCACCAAAAAGACACACGGTGCTACGCAACTCAGATATGAGAAAGTAGTTAGGAAAAATCCACTAAACTACACAAATTAAATATGAAAAGTAGTCAAAGGAGATGCACGGTGCTACACAAATCAGATATTCAAAAATAAGGTAGTCACCAAAAATATGGCACGGTGCTACACAAATTATATATGAAAAAGTAGTCACTGGAATGACGGCACAGTGCTACACAAATTAAATATGAAAAAAAGTAGTCACCAGAATGATGACGCGGTGCTACAAAAATTAAATATGAAAAAGTAGTCACGAGAATGATGGCACGGTGCTACACAAATTAGATATAAGAAAGTAGTCACCGAAATGATGGCACGGTGCTACACAAATTAGAATGAAAATATAATCACCAAAAAACTACACGGTGACCCAACTTTTGCTAACATAATCATTAGCCGGACGGGCGGCATATATGGATAATAGCCACCCGCCGGCAGCGCAAGCTCTTTGATTGTTTACCAAGGTCGTAGAGGCTCTGATACCATGTGAGAAATATAAGAAAAAAATATTATTGACTTGTTGTTGTGTCTATATTATTACATTGAGACCCTATTTATAGACCCTATATTACAATCCTCTACCAAATAGAATACTATTTAGTATACCTATTCCTATTCTAATAAGATTGTATAAACATATTCTTATTCTAATAGGATTGTATAAACCTATTCCTATTCCAATAGGATTATATAAACATATTCCTATTCTAACAGTCTTCATAAAAGTTGGGAGATATTTATAAGTAACTTGTAGCTAAGTCAAACGGTGCTTACAAGTATTTCATCTAATTGAAAATAAATATACCATATGACTTTATTATTTATCACTCACTTGAACATATTGTCTTCAGATAATAACAACCATTCTATACCCTGCATGTTCACAAATGAACCACCCAGCACCAAGGTGAGTTTTAATACAACAAGGGTGATAGTTTAGGTAGGTAAAGCGAAGAATGATTAGTTGGGTTATGAAACTCGCAAAATGTGATAGTTTGGATGTGTTTTTGACCATTAACTCTTAGTAAAATTATTTACCTTATCCGAAAAGACAATAACTCCAAAATAAGATGCTGTTATGCCCTTTGTCCCTTGTGAAAACTGAAGGAAAATAATTCATATTAAATTGACACAAGCAGCTTGTAAGCAAGCATGTGGAACCTAATAAGCCAAGTAAAGATAAATATGGACTCGAAACTTAATTAGTTGGAAAAAGTATAGGCATAATTACTCAATAAAACCTCCTACTAATCACTAGAACTAGACCTAATTTATAGAAAGTTTTTGTTTGTCAATGTCCAATAATTTAAGCCGACAGACTAATAAGGAAAATCTCAGTGCCCAACCTATACCAAGGGTTGGCTTGAAAGTCGACCTTATACTCAAAAGCACCTTTTTAGTAAGGTTGCTTGTTTCCACTCATTAAAATTCGATCTACAAAAGGAGGTGCACAAGGGATACTCAAATTGCTCTCACAATCACTAGAGAAGGTGAGGACGTCTTTCTTTCCTACCTCCATACAGTTCGCCTAAAGCCTTAAAAGAGAAGGGGAAGATTCATTTATCTAAGTACTCGGTCTTTGTTGGTCGTTGTTCCAGTTGAGCACTCTCTAGTCTTTGTCCAATCCCATCTTAGAATCTTCCAAGATGTTATAGAATTTTCAAAATGCCTCCAAAGAGAATATGTAGCCTTTTTGTTTTATTTAGGCATGGACGAAAGGTTTTAGGGTAGCCTCCAAGTAATCCTAATGGACCCTTGGGCTTAAAACATGTGGGTGGACCATTTTGTAGAGGCCCAACCTAGCCCAACTTCAGTCATGTAATTTGACTTAAATAATTATTCCGGCTTTATTAACCCAAAATGTTCACTTGGGTCAATATATCTTGAATTTATAACTTGTTCAAATTTTGTATCGGCTTAATCCCATAAAATTTTGCATGCCTTGATATTAACAAATTTCAGTACTGGATTGTAACTGTTGGTATTGTTTGTGTTTGTTAGATTCTTCTATATTAATATTTTGGGTATTTTGAGTTGAAACTATAACTCAAACAATTGAAAGGAGGAAATATGGCTATAAATTATGAGGGTAAGACAATTTTGGTTTCAGCGAATGAGTTTGCGGAGTCCTCTCAGTATCAACAATCCCTTAAAGAATTCACTTCAGTTACTACCCTTGTTGATCCAAGAAAAGCATATGCAGTCTCCTCTTTGAACAACTGGGTAATTGATACACGTACTAGTAATTACATGACACGTAATCTTAATATATTTTCTACCTTTCAATCACAAAAAGCACCCTCTCAAGTAATGGTAGTTGATGGCTCAACACATAACATTGTGGGATTTGGAACCATTAAAGCAACCTCCTCTATTGCCATGTCATATGTATTAAAGCCACACTAGAACTTGAATCCTAGAGACCCTCTTTTGATTTTGTAGGATGTCCAACAGTCTATAGAAGAAAATGAATGGTTACAGAGACCATTTCCAGAAGAGGAAGTGTTATTGATCATCAACCAGTCTGATGAGGACAAAGCACCAGACACTGATGACTTCACTATGGATTTCTTCAAGAAATGTTGGGATATTTTGAAAGAGGACTGAATGTTGAGTACGAAAAATTCCCATCAGAAGAGTGCGTTTGAGAAATCATTTAATTTTCATTGATGGCTTCAATCCCAAAGAAACCTGATGCAATTGAGCTAAAGACTTTAGACCTATCAGTTTGATAGGAGTAGTCTATAAAATCATCTCCAAGTTGCTAACTGAGAGAATAAAGACAGTGATAGTGAAATTGGTTGATATGAACACCAAATGGCTTTTTTTAAGATGCACGCGAATAATGGATGCAGCATTGTTGGCTAATGAAATGGTTAACTCCAGGGTAAGGCAGAAAGAACCTAGGAGTCTATGCAAGCTAGAAATTGAGAAAACCTATGACCATGTTAATTGGAATTTCCTTCTAAAAGAACTAAAGGACATGGGGTTTGGTAGCAAGTGGATTGGCTGGATCAATAACTGCATTTCAAGTGTGAAGATTTCCCTCCTCATAAATGTAAACACTGAAGGATTCTTCCAATCTCAAAGAGGTCTTAGACAGGGAGATCCATATCCCTATTCCTATTCATAATAGCCATGGAGGGGTTGAATCAGGAAGGCAGAGACTAATGGGTGGGAGAGGATTTAGTGCACTTGCTGGGAGAGGGAAGGAGCTGGAGATCACACACTTATTCTATGTTGATGATGCTCTTATATTCTATGAGGCAAAGGAGGCAAAAATTAGACACATAAGGGCTATACCCACTAATTAGTAGAGCATTTCAAGCCTCCGTGTCAATTGGCTGAACAGTCATCTCCTCCATATCAATCAAATTGACAATTTTCTTGGGCTAGTTGAGACATTAAGTTGCTATGTAGATATCTAAAATATCTGGAACTACCTTTGGGTGCTAAGAACAAAGAGCTGGAAGTGTGCAATGAGGTGTTGGAGAGATGAGGGAGGAAACAAGCCCGGTGAAGAAGCTAGTATTTGTCCCTGGGTGGTAGGGTGACCTTCATCAAATCAGTATTAGATGGATCATTTACTTATATGATGAGTTTATTTCCAGTCCCCAAGAACATTGAGAAGAAAATAAATAGGCTCAGGAGATCTTTTCTTTGGCAAGGAAACAAGGAAAGGGAAGGCTACAACTTGGTGAAGTGGGATACTCTCACACTAAGCAAAAACCAAGGAGGCTAGGATTGAAGGACCTAAGTCTATAAAACAGTAGCTTACACCAAAAGTGGCTATGGACATTCTGTATAGAATATAGAGCCTTATAGAAGATATTTATATTGTTTATTTAACCGTTGGACAACTGTAGTGGTTATGGGCACATTTGGGTGCAGTGTCTGGAAGACCATTAGAAGACTATTGCCACATTTCAAAAACAACATATGTGTTAGTGTTAGCGATGGGAGGAAGAAAGAGTTCTTGAATGAAATATAGATAGAAGAAGACAGTTTGAGAAACCTATTACCTCTTCTATATACATTGAGTATGCAGAACAATGACACTGTGGAACAAGCCTGGAGTCAACACGGTTGGAATCTAGTATTTAGGAGAGCATTGAATGATTGTGAAAGTGAGGAGGTTGCCAAGCTATTAGGGTTCTTAATGATTTACTAAGTACTTCTTAGAGGTTTGATAAGCCAATATGGAAAATACACAACAAAAGTATATATTGAAATCATGCTATTGAAAGATGAACTTTAATGTCCCACTAATTGAACCAACCTTAGCAGACATATTAATAGTTATCTGGACCAACCTTAACAAGTGTTATTAATGCCATTTGGCTCCAATATAAAAACACTCATGAACTTGCAAACACTATATCAAAGAAAATCTTTAGTATAAACGTTTAAAAGTCGACCTGCAGGACAAGTATAAGTTATTCAAAGGAAAGAACTGGTCGCCTAATTTAAATGTGCTTCAGTCAATCAGACAGCTTGATAGAAGTTGTCATCTTGGATAAGATCCTTTTTTGCTATCTGGGACTCCTCATTTCCCATCAAAAAGGTAAAATGGATAGTCTTGACTGATCTGTATTAATGAAGAAATATACATACATTTCACTAGCTGAATATCCTACTTCTGAGTATCTTTACAAAGAAAAAGGCATAATTCAGAAGAAAAATTGAACTAAAAAAAGCTTAAACACAACTTAATTACCTCGACAAAGGAGCTGGTCATTGATTAACCACAATCATATGAGCTCTAGTAAAATCCTGTCCAAAAAAATATCATGAATACAAAGGTAAATAGTGGGAGAACAACAACATAGTGGGAGAAGTGATAGCTTTTTAATCTTCTAGCCCATAGATACACTCTTCTATTAGTTCAAGTTTAGTCTTATAGCCAGGCGCCAGCATCCTTCATATTGATGGTTAAATATCCCAACACGTCATATATCATGTAGTACTGAGGATGCTTCCTATCTTTAGATACAAAACAGTGCGGATATCCAGAAGTATCAATCCAACTAAAGACAACCTCCTTTGACAATCCCACTTTGTGAATCCCTCTTCTGACGTTATCGACAGACTGCCAGTTTCCTTCCTCTGCATAATATATTTGAAAGCAGAATATGACAACCAGAAATTATCCCTCCCCTATAATTCAAGCAGCTTACTGGAAACAATTTTCCCCATATCAAAGTTTCTATGCACTCTGCAGGCTGCAAGGAATGATCCCCATCTTCCCAAGACATTACCCTCAACACCCAACAGTTCAGAAAAATTATGAGCTTCATCCAACCGTCCAACTCTCCCTACATGTCAACCACACAAGGATAGCGCTCTGCTGATGGCTGAATCCAGATTTTTCACCCATCAGCTCAAATATTTAAAGGCCTGTATCAACCAATCCGGTGTAGCTGCAAGTAGACAGGACTGCTACAAAGGTAACAGCATCTGGTTCTAAAGCATTCTGCCGTAAAGAGTAGAACATGGTTACACCTAGAATATGTGTCTATCATAGCATTAAGCGAAATAACTTGCCGTGCATTTCTTTATCAGACATGCATGTAGCTGTGTAAACTCCAAATGCTGCAACTGTGAAGTTGCCCTAAGAGCAGATACAAATGTCACATCATCAGTAGTAACAGCATCCTCTGCTTCTACAGCTTAAAAGATGAGATCAACAGCTTTAAAAGGAAATTTGTTCTAAATGTACCCGCTAATCATAGAGTTCCAGATCTCAGTAATTCATTCACAAGTATTCTCAAATAGTCTGGTCATCAAATTAATGCAACCAAGCTCAGCATACATAACAATGGAAGCACTAACAACAAACAAGTCATTTACATATGCATTACCCAATTTCGCAAGCAACCCATAAAGAACATCAGCAACTCTAACATCCCTTATTTCTGATACAGTAGGAAAAACATTAATAAAACTAACAACAGTTGGCTTAATGCCTTATCTCATCATCATAACAAAACACCTCACTGCTTCCGAAAACCTCTTCCTTTTCACATACCATGAAAAAATAGTAATCCGCGCAACAACATTTCTTTGATGCATAGTTCTAAACACCCTTTAAACTAAACCACAATCAGAACCATTATCCAATGTAAGACAAGTAGCAGAGTACATATTCAACAAAGAATTACTAACAATCCTACAAGTATGAATCCCAGAAAACAGAATGTGGCGATGCACGGCTTTACCTACAAGAATCCCTTTGGTCTCTGCGCAAGCCTTAAGAACAGAGGAATAAGTATACTGATCACATACGGATGAATCCACATGTTTCAATCTAGAATAGAATAAAATGGATTCATGGGGCATGTTATTACAGATAAACCCAATTATTATTGTGTTCCAAAGGACAGTTGATGGTTGAGGAATTGTATTGAACAGTTGGCAGGCGAGATGGGGTTGGCCTTGTCTGCACGATTCGCTTAAACAAAAGCGAATTGTTCTGGGTTTTGAGTCTGTAAGAGTGCACTCTTGGTCGGTGAGGAGTAGAGAAGAGTAATTTGGGAGATGGGTTAAGCTCAAAAATGGAGACTGAGAAAGTTGAAGGAAGAGGAAGAAGACAATGGTTTGGTCTTACAAATACTCATTCACTTCAATATTTCAATTTGTTTGTCTAGTTTTGACATTAACAAGTAATTCCTCCGTTTAAAAAGAATGACCTAGTTTGACTTTTTTATCTTTTTTTTGACACTAGTAACATTGTATTTCAGTCCGTACTTAGGTAGTACTGAAAAACCATGTTTACAAAAAGAAGAAAAGATTAAAGTCCTTCCAATGCTAAACCAGGAACTAGATGGACCCTAAACCATCTATAATTGACTCAGTCTCATTGGAGTAGACATTTGTACACCAGAAACAGAACAACAAAATACATTTAAGTTAGCTTCCATTAATCCTAATAGCCCCTTGGGCTTAAAACATGTGGCTACGTCATTTTGTAGAGGCCCAACCTAGCCCAATGTAGTTGGATTTGATTTAAGTCATGCAATCTTGACATAAATAATTAATCCGGCTTTATTAACCCAAAATGTTGACTTGGTTCAATATCTCTTCAATTTATAACTTTGTTCAAATTTTGTGTGGACTTAATACCAAAAATTTTTGTATGTCTTGATATTAACAAATTGCATTTTCAGTCTTGGAATGTATCTGTTGGTATTGTTTGTGTTTGTTGGCTTCTCCTAAATTGATATTTTGGGTATTATGATTTGGAAACTATAACTCAAACAACTGGCAAGGAGGAAATATGGCTATACATTATGAGGGTAAGACAATTTTGGTTTCAACGGATGAGTTTGCAGAGTCCTCTCACTATCGAGAATCCCTTAAAGTATTCACTTCAATTGCTACCCTTGTTGATTCAAGAAAAGCATTATGCGATCTCTTCTTTGAATAAATGGGTAATTGATCCAAGTGCTATAAATTACATATACGCAATCCTAATATATTTTCTACCTTTTGATAATACAATAAAAATCAATCTACAATTATAAGTATATATGTGTGTGATTCCTTTTTTGTTGAATAATTATTTCCATAGGTCATACAACTTATAATTGTAGAGTGATTCACTAAGAAATTTGCTCTGATTGGTGCTTTATGAACATCAAGTTTTCTAGTTGTCCGGATGTTTTTTGATACTTTTCTTTAACCTGCTTTATATTTAGGAAAATTAGTTTTTAGAGAAATGAGTAGTTGTTTGAAGGGAAAAAGTAAGATCTTTCATGTCTTTCCCTTTAAGATTTTTTGTCATGGTTCTATAAAGCTTTCCTTTTTTATATGCTTTTCGTTTTGTTGAGGGTTAGTCGGTCAGAAGAAGTCAGAAATGACATCTCTACCTCCCAAGGTAGGGTAAGGTCTATAGACACTCTACCCTCCCCATATATCATTGTGGGATTTCACTAGATATGATTTTGTTGTTGGTTCAATCTTTCCTTTCTCGGATATACTTTATATGTTTTTCTTTGAGTCAAGCGTGTATCAGAAATAGCCACTCTACCTCTGAAAGTAAGGTAAGGTCTACATACACTACTCACTTGTGGGATTACACTTGGTATGTTGTGCGTTGGTACTGTATATCTTCCATTCAAATGATTACTAATTTGTTATTTCATGATGTATAAAGGTAAAGACGACAAAAGAGAATGTGCACTCAATCAAGATGGTAGATTTATATATTTGTTCTTGGTGTAGATTCTGAAAAAAATGCAAAGCGACACTGACCTACTTAAATATCAAGAGATTCATCTTAGTTCTATCTTCAAAGAGAAAAAATGTGTCACGTTTTTAAGGACTCTTCTTCAACATGGTTTCCGTTGTTTAAAGTTAATGTGTAGAGATTTAAGTTTCTCAAAAAGAAAAAACAAGAATTTTTATAGTTTTACTTTTGATTTGTTGTCCAGGATATATTTTGTCTTAGCACATTCCCTAGTTTTAAGTGGTTAAATTGTGTTACAATTGAATCTGGGGTTTTCCTTTTCTTTTTATAACATATGTTTGGATTGACAAGATTTCTTTCCCGTTAAGTGGTTCAAGGCAAAAGATTTTTTTTTTTTGCATCACTATAAGAACAAAAATATATACTCAATGATATAATTTTATCTTGAGACAATAGTTTTCTTCTTTGTACTCTTCTTTCTTATTATAAAACAATCTATCCGACAGAAAAGGTAAAGAGAGCAAATGCTTTAATAATATGCATTATATCTCTAGGGACTTATGTGTTAGTATTCCACATGTATTTCATATTTGTCTCTTTTTACTAGTCACTTATTATTTTTCTTAGTATCCATAACTGATTTAAGAGAATGTGTCTTACCGCGATTGTTTCTGATTTCCAAGTGTCGTGGGCTACAAAAAATCTTATTTTAGATGCCTAATATTTCTTATAGTTTTTGGTCATATATTGACACTTATCCACTTTCTGAATCCTCTTGAAGAGCTTACCTTTTTCATGTTTGAGCTTTCCTTGTAGATCCTAAAGAAAATGAATATTGATTAAACATGCAAAAACTCCTCCTAGACTAAGGATGGGGATAAAATCTTTGAGAATACTCTTGCGATCAACAATGTATTAATTGAAGATATATCGAGTCTAAATATGTCACATTACTTAATTATCTTGAAATGCAAAACGAAAATTAATTGAATTGATGTTTATATCATTTTCTTTTTAATGTAGAACGGCAAAGGGGGTTTCTTGGATAGAATAGGAACATAAATTAGTGTCAATACAGTTCTTGAGGATGACATTAATAATTTGAATTGATGTTTATATTATTTCTTGTATTTGATTGCACGACTTCCATTTTTACTAATATAGAATTTCAAAAATTCTTATTCCTTAATAACCACGTTTGTTTGTTGCTAAACATCACATATATTATTATATTTCTAAGTGGATAGAGTACATCTTCATATATTATTATATTTCTAGGTGGATAGAGTACATCTTCATATATGTCATAGATATATTTGGTCTTCATAAAAGATTTAGTTCTAGAGATACTTTTGAGTAACCTGTTGCTAAGACAAGCGGTGCTTACACGTATTTCCTCTAATTGAATATCACGTGAAAGGTCCCTTTCATGTCGGCAATACATCATCATTGAAATAGACTAGGGCGAAAACATGTTGTTCAGGACAATGAATGTTCTAGTATGCTTATCCCTCTTTTAGTGATTTAGATCTAGTTTCTTTTTGGTGTTGTCGCGATTTGCTGAGTTTTGCTCAATATTGAATTAATAGTGTTTTGTGGATGCATGTTCTTGATGTCAAATAAATTTGGTATTTGACTATCGACTACAATTATTTTGTTGGATGAATTGTTCGATAATTTGTTGGAATCAAATATTATTGATGACCTTCTGAAGCTAGGCTATTCTTAAGTTTTTTATCGAGGTGAACCGGTTAAGGGAGACAATTTCAAAGCTAATGATGTGAAAGAAGTATGTAATAGAACAAATAAATGAAATTTGGCTTCTACATTGCATTAACATGATCATGATATAAGATGTACGCATGCCTGCGCTAGGCTTGTACAATCTTCATTGGACCAATCATGCCTAACCTATACCAAGGGTTAGCTTGAAAGTCGGCCTTACTCAACAAGCACCTTTCTTAGTGAGGTTGCTCTTTTCCACTCATTAAGATTCTATCTACAAAAGGAGGTGCATGAGGGATACTCAAATTGCACTCACTGACACTAGAGAAGGTGAGGACATCTTTCTTTACTACCTCCATACAGTTCGCCTTTAGGAGAAGGGGAGGAATAGTAATCTAAGTATTGGTCTTTGTTGGTCGTTGTTCCAATTGATCACTCTCTTGTCTTTGTCCAATTTCATCATAGAATCTTCCAATATGTTAAAGAATTTTCAATATGCCTCCAAAGAGAATATGTAGCCTTTTTATTTTATAGAGGCATGGATGAAGGATTTAGGGTAGCCTCCAAGTAATCAATGGACCCTTGGGCTTAAAACATGTAGGTGGACCATTATGTAGAGGCCTAACCTAGGCCAATGTAGTTGGATTTGACTTAAGTCATGCAATCTTGACTTAAATAATTAATCCGACTTTATTAACCCAAAATGTTGACTTCGTCTTGCATTTATAAGTTCCTTCAAATTTTGCATTTCTTGATATTAACAAATTGTCTTTTCACTACTGATTGTGTCTGTTGGTATTGTTTGTGTTTGTTAGCTTCACCTATATTGATATTTTGGGTATTTCGAGTTGGAAACTAGAACTCAAACAATTGGAAAGGAAGAAATATGGCTATAAATTATTAGGGTAAGACAATTATGGCTTCAGCGAATAAGTTTGTGTAGTCCTCTTAGTATCAAGAATCCCTTTAAGAATCACTTGAGTTACTACCCTTGTTGATTCAAGAAAAGCATATGCAGTCTCCTCTTTGAACAACTAGGTGATAGATACAGATACTAAAAATTACTTGACATGTATCCTAATATATTTTCTACCATTCGATCACACAAAGCACCCTCTCAAGTAATGGTAGTTGATGGCTTAACACATAACATTGTGGGATTTGGAACCATTAAAGCTACCTCCTCTATTGCCATGTCATCTGTATTAAATGCCAGACTCTACTCAAAACTTGAATCCTAGAGACCTTCTTTTGATATTGTAGGATGTCCAACAGTCTTTAGAAAAAAATGAATGGTTACAACTCTATATGTATATTTACTCAATAAAACCTCTTACTAATCACTAGAACTAGACCTAATTTAAAGAAAGTTTTTGTTTGTCAATGTCCAATAATTTAGGCCCACGGCCTGAAAAGGAAATTTCAGAGATTATCTTATCGATATGATATTTTGTAGATTCAGAACCATTTTCACAAATGAAAAACTCCACTTATGCCAGCTCCATTGATATTCACATACTATAATTAGCTGAACCGACCTTAGCAGACATACTAATAGTTATCTGGATCAATCTTAACAAGTGTTATTAATTCCATTTGGCACTCGCGAACTTGCAAACACTATATCAAAGAATATCCTCAATACAACAGTTTAAAAGTCGACCTGCAGGACAGGACAAGTATAAGTTATTAAAAGGAAAGAACTGGTCACCTAATTTAAATGTGCAATCAGAGAGCTTGATAGAAGTTGTCATCTTGGATAAGACCCTTCTTATGCTATCTGGGACTCCTCGTTTCCCACCAATGGATATTCTTGATTGATCTGTATTAATAAAGAAATATACTTACATTTCACTAACTGACTATACTACATCTGACTATCTTTACAAAATAAAAAAACATAATTCATAAGAAAAAACTAAACTAGAAAAGCTAAAACACAACTTAATTACCTCGAGTTTCCAAAGGCAGCTGGTCATTGACAAACTACAATCAAACGAACTCTAGCAAAATCATGTCCAAAAATATCATGAATACAAAGGTACATAGTGAGAGAACAACAACATAGTGGGAGAACTAATAGCTTATAGCCAGCATCCTTCATATTGATGGTTTAATATCCCAACATATCATATATTAGTTCAAGTACTGAGGATGCTTCTTATCTTTAGATACAAAACAGAGTGGATATCCAGAAGTATCAATCCAACTACACCCAACCTCCTTTGACAATCCCATTACGCGCATTCTTCTTCTGACGTTATCTACACACTGCCAGTTTCCTTCCTCTGCATATATATTTGAAAGCAGAACATGATGGCCAGAAATTCCGTCACTCCCCTCTAATTCAAGCAGCTTACTGGAAACAATTTTCCCCAATTCAAAATTTACATGCACTCTGCAGGCCGCAAGGAGTGATCCCCATTTTCCTAAGACATTATCCACAACACTCAACAGTTCAGAAAAATTATGAGCTTCATCCAACCATCAAACTCTCCCTAAAATGTCAACCACACACGCATAGTGTTCTGCTGATGGCTGAATCCCGTATTCTTCACCCATCAGCTCAAATATTTAAAGCCTGTATCAACCAATCCGGTGTAGCTGCAAGTTTACAGGACAGCTACAGAGGTAATAGCATCTGGTTCTAAACCATTCTGCCACAAAGAGTAGAACAGTGTTAGAGCTTTCCTACCCATCCCAAGAAGACCATATCCCAAACTCATAATCAATTATTCCTGATTTTGATTACATGTCTACCATAGCAGAAACAAGTTAAGCACTGTTCTCAAACAAATTGCGAATTGCAAACAATGTAGCTGCTAGCCTATTGCTATACTTCCTGATTGGCTGCATGGAGGATTGATGCTAACGTCACAGCATTTGGCTTCAAATTCTGCTCTAGCATCTCCTTGAAGACAACAAAGGATTGTTTAATTAATCCATTTTGAGTGTTTCCAGTAATCATAGCATTCCACGTGGCTTGATCTTTATCATTTGTGAAGTTCGACTGGAATATAGCTTGTGCTTCCCTAATCATATTACATTTGGCATACATGTCTATTGTGCCTCAGAAGATAAGCATGGGTCTGTTAACCAATTTCCCTGTCCCTAAGATTTGATGCCGCAGAAAGCAGGATGCAATTGTTATATCATCAATTGCAACCCCAAGATTTTGCATCTCATATGCAAGCATCAAAGCCTCTTTATCCAGTCCGTTCTGTACCAAATCAGCAACTCTAACATCCCCTATTTCTGATACAGCAGGAAAAACATCTAACAACAATTGGCTTAATACCTAATCTCATCATCATAACAAAACACCTCACTGCTTCCGAAAACCTCTTCCTTTTCACATACCATCAAAAATTAGTAATCCACGCAACAACATTTCTTTTATGCATAGTTCTAAACACCCTTTAAACTAAACCACAATCAGAACCATTATCCAATGTAAGACAAGTAGCAGAGTACATATTCAACAAAGAATTACCAACAATCCTACTAGTATGAATCCCAGAACGCAGAATGTGGCAATGCACAGCTTTACCTACAAGAATCCCTTTGGAATCCGCGCAAGCCTTGAGAACAGAGGAATAAGTATATTGATCATTTAACGGATGAACCCACATGTTTCAGTCGAGCATAGTATGAAATGGCTTCATGGGGCATGTCATTACAGATAAACCCAATTATTGTTGTGTTCCAAAGGAGAGTTGATGGTTGAGGAATTGTATCGAACAGTTGGCGGGCGAGATGGGGTTGGCCTTGTCTGCTCGATTGCTTAAACGAAAGCGAATTGTTCTGGGTTTTTGAGTCTGTAAGAGTGCATTCATGGTCGATGAGGGGGTAGAGAAGAGTAATTTGGGAGATGGGTTAAGCACAAAAATGGAGACTGAGAAAGTTAGAAAATTGAGGAGGAGGTGACAATTGTCTTCAAATTAAAATTGGTGAAAAAAAAGGTTTGATTAAAGTTAAATTCCTTTTTAATTAGTGATTAAGTTAAATTGGGATCTAAAATATAATATTTAAAAATTTTAAATTTTTAAAGTATTTAAAATAAATTCAATTTCTCATTGTATTTCTTTTTCCCTTATATTGTTGCGACAAGTTAGGGATTGTCTCTTCATCTTTGTTTGTCTTCTTAGTTTGTCGTCTGTCATCTTCGTCTTTGTTTGTCACTTTTTTCGTCATTTTTGTAATCTACCTCTAAGGTAACACTCTTTTCTTTTCTTTCATTGTTAGGATTTTAAGAGTGTAAAGGTTGAAGATTGATTGGATTGTTATTGTGTATGATTCTTTTTGTTATTTTTGTCCAAATTATCACTTGCATTGTTGAAAAGATTTCAAAAGTTTATTGAGAATTCTCTATCTGAAAATGTTCGTGATGCTGAATCTTAGTTTAGAGAAATTAGAGAGTGAAATTGTTGTTGCTTTTCTGTTTTTGCTGTAGCCTTTTCAACAAGTGTTTTCTTTGCTTAATTAATTGTTGTTAATTGTTGAAGTTGTTACAACAATTGCTAAAACAATTAAATAATTGTATATAATAATCTTTAAATGCAATAATTGTTTTATCGCATTTTTATTATAATTATTATTTTACATGTATATTGTGCATTCATGGATAACTCAACACATTTAGTGAAATGAAAATGGAATTTTTCACTAAGTTTATGCCTAAGATATTAACCGAGGATGATAAGATGAATAGCCTGAGATGGATTTGAATGGTGTTGTTGCTATAAAAAGAAACATCATAATTGATGAGCATAAGCTTGGTGTAGGAGGTGGAGGAGCATCTTCTCCAATTGTTGAGAGAGTTTTTAGTTGTGTTGGTGATGAAGGAAGAGGAGAATTTACTCCAAATATTGATAGATGTACCGTTGGTGTTGATTTCGAAAGAGGAGAAGACTTCGATGATATTAGTGGTGGTTTTGGAGTAGGAACATCTTCTCTGATAGATGAGAATGTTCCTTGTCTTCAAGAAACTCCATGCACTAAGGAAACGATAGATTCATTGAATGTAAGGTAGAGTCTTTAGAGAAAATTATCGTCACCATGAATGTTAAGACTGGGTCTTTAGAGAAAGTTATAGTCACCATGAAGTCTAAGAGAGGTATTAGGACTTCATCAAAGATCTCTCATCTATATACTCCCGACTATGTTAAAAGAACAAAGAGACAAAATTCGGAAGCCTTGTCAAGTGCTAGAAAAAGAAAAAGGAAAAAGTGAATGAGATCATTGTCGAAAAAGAATTGGTGTCCGGAGATGGTGAAGGTAAAATTATTTTCTAATCATCTTTCTAAGATTTGTCTTGTTTATATATACACTAGTCTCCGGGCACGTACGTTGCACGTGTATCCCAAATAAAAATCAATAAAAAAATAAATGAAAAAGTATATAATAAACTATTAGGAGAATTATGATGTTTTTTTTTCGAGTGTTCTCTCAATATTTTCGATCTACTGCACATTAGATAAGTCTCCAAAGCTTATCCATTTATAAGCAATTAAATATACAGACAGTCATCAACAAGTAAAATTTCCAAGAAAGACACATCAAGTTAAAGAATTAAAAAGGGAAAATGCGACGTTACTTAAAGCCATCTTGTATCCTTCATGTGTGTCGTTACAAATGTAACTACTTCCTTAAAAACTTTCAGATATACCCAAACTTATATTTACAGGCTTACAACTACTATCCATCAATGTTAGAGAAGACTTGAAATTGCTACATTTGTTGAAGAAAATGTGATATATTTTGCTAGCAAAGAGCTGCAATTTCAATTTATTATTAATAGTTTAAAAGTTTAAACATGGTTTCTTTTCTGAGGGAAGCTATGCGTAGAGAGTTTCAAAGAGAGTTGATCATCATTCAGCATCAAACCATATGTGTACAACAACATTCAATTTTTGATATGTGTGATTATACTTTTCAAGCTATTTATTTTACCTATTAAAAAATTAGAAAGTTATCATTCAAATGAAGTTAGCAGATCAAGTGGAAAAATCTAGACTTAATAAGATTGTACCTGAAAATTAGAAGACATTTTTGTACCCACTTAACAATGGAAGCTTGTGTTGAATGACGAATATTGAGTATGTTTATATAGTGTAGTCTTGAAGATTTGTTGATAAAAGCTCTTTGATATTCCTCAATTACTTAATTTGATCCCTTTCAACTTCTCATAATTAGCAAAATACGTTTCAACTTCTATATTAATTGAAACTTTATTAGTGTTCATCCTATTTGGTTGTTTCACACATAGTAATTGAATAGACTGCTGAACTTGTCATTTTGCTCCTCTATTATGTAATTCAATATTACTATTAAATTAGATATTTAATTTATATTTGGGTAAAGTATTTTATTACTTTTTAATTTAGTATAGGGGTAAAATAGTAATTCAACTTTACACTTTAGAGCTTCATGCTTATAATAATATATGATATATATTCTATTTTTACATGTGAATTTTTTTAATATCACATTTGATTCCAATTCCAAAGGAGTTTGAAAGAGTGATGAAGAAGGGGCTACTTGTGAATATGCATTTTTATCACTATTTTGCTGCACTTTTAATTCACATTTATTGTACATTAGTGAATATGGTATTTTGAATTTTATGAATTGAAGGAGCTCTTGTTGATATGCATTTTTATCACTATTTTGCTACAATTTTAATTCACTTTTATTGTACATTAGTGAATATGGTATTTTGAATTTGATGGATTGAAAGGGCTGCTTATGTATATGCATTTTTACCACTATTTTGCTACAACTTCTAATTCACTTTTGTTGTATATTAGTGAATATGATATTTTGAATTGTACATCGTGATGTTGTTAGTGAACTAGTTGCAGCTGAGGATTTGACTCATCCAATTGTCGAAATTCTCTACAGCAATTAAACAATTTGTTTCTTCTTTTTTTTTTTACAGCAATTACTGAAATTTTCTACAATAATTAAGCAAATTGTTGTACTTTTCATAGCAATTGCTACAATTCTCTACAACAATTAAACGAGTTGTTGTATTGTTTTACAACAATTGCTTAAATTTCTACAACAAACACGAAATTATTGTACTTCTCAGAGCAGTGTATGAACTTTTCTAATGCAAGTAAGAAAGTTGTTGTACTTTATATGGCAACTAATTAATAACCTCAACCCCCTCTGAATTAATTTGTTGTTGAAATGGCTCATGGGATCATTTCACTTTTAATCAAAGATTTTGTATTCAAGCCACATGAATAAAACAAGAAAAAAATTGATAGCGTGTTCCTAAACCTTGAACCACACCAGAAATATCATTTTTTTCGTAGTTTCACGCCTCAGCTATCAATACATGTGGAGTATCAACATATTTGTGGAGAATCAACACATTGTGACACAAAACATAATATTGAAATAAACCACCATAGTATCAAATCATGAGTATGTCAAACATTCAACAAAATCATTCATGAACAGAGACTGGGAACTTGGCTAACAAAACAAACAAACCAAAAGAAATGCTCATGTTCCCAAACAGACATTCACATCAAAACACAATGTTATATTACTGCTACTACTGCTCCACATTTGTTTCCATCTATTCAACTTCAACTTCAAATACATTTCCGCTCCAAAGATCACGATAGATTACTTCTACTTTAGGTGATAGATGCCAAAATTTTGATACCTTAGCAAGTATCTTTGATCTTCTTTTGGGACGTGAATATGAATCGATAGTCACTCTCACCAACACTGGGGACTTGGCAAACAAAAGCTTAACAAACTGCATCTGTGGCGCTCTCCCGTAGAAGTCTTCTAGCTTAACTTCCCTGAGGTGATTAAATGTGACATCGGAGAAACGTTCAAGTTCAAGAAATTCTGCAGTACCTTCATCATCTTCAGTGAAAAGCTAAGAAAAATAACAAGAAGTTAACTCCCAGGTTATTGAGTATCTAAGATCACGTTTTAAAAAAGAAGCCACTATCAACATAATACCCAATGAAATCCCACAAGTGGAGTTTGGGGAGGGTAGAATGTACACAGACGTTACCACTATCTCAAATGCAACAAATCCAGTTACAAAGAAGACAGTGACGAACCTTTAGTTCAAGATATTCCAAGTATGAGAAGCTTCTTATCAACGAAAAACAGCATAATGTATCATATATATCCTCCAGCACAATATCACGCACATAAAACCGTTTGACTCGGCTATGATCAAAAGGAAGTCTTGTTGGGGCTTCATCTGGTTTTGCAAATTCAAACTACAAAAAAAAGCACTTTCCACATTATTCAACCCAAGAGAATCTCCATGTATGAAAATGTAAAACACTTCAAAGTCATAAAGCAACATCTACCAGTTCAAAACAGAAGTGGACGTGGAGGTGCTCGAGAGCAAAACAAGACTCAAAAAACTTCACAAAATATAAATTTTGTGCCTCCAGAGAAGAACCCTCGTATAAGTTCAGAGATACTTTTGTCAAAAGAGGGACGTTCGTTAGACTGATAAAACTTATACAGCCTGAGAAATCAAAGGATTTCAGCTTAGAGGCATTAATTTCTATTATATCTGAAATTGGAACTTCTGAAAATTCCAGCACTAACTTCTCAAGCAACGAGCAATGAGATATCAAACTTCCGAGCAATTCAAAAGAGATTGTGACGTTACATAGTTCCAAGGTGATTAACTTATCAAATCCTTGAAAGCTCGAGGGAGGACGTATAAAACAATTTTCAAGAGTTAGATGCCTCAGCTGCGAACATGTGAAAAGTGAAGACAATTTGTATGCTTCATCTTCATTCCATGGAAGGTGAAAAACAAGATGTTGAATGCCATTCATCGAGAGGAAATATATGAAGAAATCAATCTCAGGACAGCTTCTCAACCCGGTAATGTCGAGGGTAAACTTAGTAATGGGTCCTTTATGAAGGGTTAAAAGCTGGTAGACAATCTTCGAAAATTTAACAGTAGGATCTAGTAAATCCTCCTCTGTACTCCAATGA